AGCTTCCTAAAATGGGCCTTTTCAAATTGCCCTTCCTGTCATCCATCTGTCCTGAGGCTGCTCTGTGTGAAGGATGGGCAGCTGTGCCTTCTGAGGTGCCAGCCGCAGCCTAGGGTGGGAACGGCAGTCCCTGTGCTCTTGTCTCTGGCCTTTATTCTGAGCCACCTCTGTCACGTGCTCACCTCTGTCATGTGCTCACCTCTGTGCACATGCTCGCCTCTGTGCAGTGCTCACCTCTGCGCACATGCTCACCTCTGTGCAGTGCTCACCTCTGTCACATGCTCACCTCTGTCATGTGCTCACCTCTGTGTGCTCACCTCTGTCATGTGCTCACCTCTGCGCGCGTGCTCACCTCTGCGCGCGTGCTCACCTGTGGGCTTGCATCCCAGTGTCCCTGCCTGGCCAGAGCCGTGGCCCACGCTCTGGAAGGGACATGGCTCCGCCTCTCTTGATCTCCCCATAGATGTGACTGTCTTACAGTGGCTCCTGTGGACTGGGCTGGCACAGGGGTTCAATCTGGAGTGGAGCAGCCCCTAGCCTCCCTCCCTGGACCCGCCAGCAGCAGTGTCACACACGCTCTGTGCATCTCAGCAGAGACTCGGGCACAGGGCAGTCCTGCAGGCCACCCATCCCTTGGGGAAACAGAGACCCCAGGAAGACCACTGACTTTGTCCTGCACCTTTAGGAAATCTGCACGAACCCCCATTTTTGTTTATTTTCTCCTGTGGACTTTTTCTCCCAATCTTCCTCCCTATCATAAAGGCCACCCTCTGCTTAGGTTGGAAGTGACAGGAAGCAGGGAAGCGTGCCACCTGAGGCTGGCACACCAGCACATGTAACCGTGTGGTCCTTTAATGGCTGGCTGGCCTCCCGACCCTCTCTTCTCATCTAACAGAAAGAATGATGGTAGTTACGTTGGGAAGGACAGAACAGAATGGCCTCCGGGCACCACAGACTGTGTAGACTTGCAATTGGCCAGAGGACAGCTGCACATCAGTCTCAGGGTTCCCTGGGTTGTGGCCTAAAACTGTCTCACTAGGAAGTGACCTGAAGGCAGTGCATTTATTCCCTAGAGTTGTTTTGGGGGCGGGGGCGGGTTTGAAGCTATGAGGAGGATCCACCTTCTCCCAGCTCCCTCCCGTTCTCTGCCATCATGGAGGTAAGGATTTCATTACCAGGTCCTTCTCCGTTTCCTCTGCTTGTCCTGCTCACCTGTCACAGCCTTCAGTCTAGAAGCTTCTGCAGAAAGTAAGGTCTTCCCAGTGCAGAGCCCCAAGGCTCCCGGCTTGCTCCTGTCTTCCAGGGCCACCCTGATAACGCCTCTGTTTCTGAAGAGTGGCCAGCAGAGCACAGAGACCACCTCCCTTCTGTGTCCAGTCACAGAGGAACTGGGCTGTCAGACTTGGGTTGCTGCCCTGGAAACATTGGTCTTGGCCTAGCGCCCCCTGCAGGTTGGGGGCAAAACTGGGCAGCTTGTGTAGAACCTGTCTACCTGGGTCATAACCATTCCATTTCTTGACACTTCCAGAATGTTAGAATGGAAAAAAAGAAGAAGAAGAGGAACATATGAGTTGTGTGTCTTAAATATTTACTTTGAGCAGGGGAATGCATTTCACACTCTCGTAGCAGTGTGACCATGCCGTTCACAAGCTAACAGAAGCTGAAACAAAAATGAGAAGCCCACAGTGCGCTAGGGGCTGGGAATGGGACACAGGTTAAAGGTTTTAATGAGCATGACGTTCTTGTTTTTATTTTTACATTTGAATGGTTTATTTGGGGGAACAGCACATGCTGCAGCACACCTTTGGAGGTCAGAGGACAGCCCAAAGGAGCTAGTTCTCTCCTTCCACCATGTCCTGGGAATCAAACCCAGGCCGTTAGGTCTGGCAAGAGCCCTTTATGCCATAAGCTATCTCATTACCCTTGAACTAGTCTTTTTGTTTTGTTTTGTTTTTTGAGACAGGGTTTTACTATGTAGCTCTGGCTGTCCTGGAACTTGCTCTGTAGACCAGGTTGGTCTCGAACTCACAGAGATCCGCCTGCCTCTACCTCCCGAGTGCTGGGATTAAAGACGTGCACCGATAGGTGTGAACTTGATTTTTGCACTCCTTGTTTTTCTGGGCTCCACTGGCTCCATTTGGGAGAAGGTCTGGAGGTGCCTGGCTTGCCCAGGGGTCCTTTCCTGAAGTATGGCCCAAGGTGGAAAGTCAAGTCCACCTGTGGGATGACAGTGCACCAGCACAGTGCTGCCCCCTGGTGGTCATCATGGACATGGGCCACATTGGTTTAGAAGAGCAATTCTCTAGGAATGGTTCAGGGATCCCTGAGAGTCCCCAACACTTTTGAGGGATCCTTAAGGTCAAGACTATTTTCCTCAACATGTGACCCTTGGCCTCTTTCACAAACAGAGAAACAGGAAGTGCTCAGATGTGGCTTCAGAAGCCTTGCTGGAGCTAGTTTCTAAGCAAGTGCCATCTGTTGAGTTTCAGTGCCGAAAAGCACACACCATTATCTCGGAAAGCTATTAGAATACTCCTCCGCCTTCCTTCACAGCCGTGAGAGCCTGGATGCCTTCCATGTACTTCACCAGAACAGCAACTCAAAGGTTAAAAGAGAAGTCAGACAAGAACGCCTAGCTGTCTTCAAAGTAGATTTAAAATATAAAAACAATCCCAGTTTTCTCATGAGTTGTCTTTGTTTTGAAAACACATGCTTTTCTCATAAAAGACATAAATTGTGTGAATACCCAATAAGCGGAATATCTTTAATGGAAATTTTTAGATTTCTCAGTAAAATATCACTAGATACAGCCTCTATGTTTTGGAACATTCAAAGGTTTTACTTTTCGTTGCGTGTGTAAGATGATGTATGCCATGGCACGGATGTGGAGTCAGAGGGAAACTGTGGAGCTGGTTCTCTTCATCCACCTTTATGTGGGTCCTGGGGACTGAACTCAGGTTGCCAGGCTCGGCAGCAAGTGCTTTACCCGCCTAACCATCTCGTCAGCCCCCAAAGACTGTTTTTGTAATGTCTAATGAATTGGAAATCACATATAGTAACCATCACTCCTATCTAATTCCAGAATGTTTTCACCATCCTACATTAGCTGTCACTGTCCTCTTGTGCCGGCTAATGGCCACTAATCTGCCTCCATAAACTGGCCTTTTCTGGACTCTTTCATAGACAGCGTCATATGGCGTGTGATCTCTGTGCGAGCCTGGCTTTTCCACTCAGCTCACTGTCTTCAGGGCTCAGCCATGTTAGAGCAGCTCTGAGAACTTTTTAAATAGCAAAATAACATTTCTTCATATGGATAGAACATATGTTATACCTTTATCGGTTGATGGTTGTTTTAGTTGTTCTTGCCTTAGGGGTTATTAGGAATAGCATGGCTAAGAACATTTGTACACATGTGCTTGTGAGGACATATGTTCTCAGTCCTCTAGAACACCTGGGTCGCTGGGTCGTGTGGCAAGGCTGTGGTTAACATACTGAGGAAACAGCAAACACATTTCCAGCTTCAATTTTCCCCACTGCTTAATTCAGTTATATAACTTTATTGGTAGCTTATAAATGTTTGTTTTTAACACGTTGCTATAATATCGGGATATTGTATTGAATAGCGATGAGGAATGCAAAGCCCAAAGTGTGTTAAAATGTATGTAATTGTGTTTCTGACCAGTAAAGATAGAATTGAAGCATCCATACAACTTTCATCTTGCGGCAGAAGGAATTCAATAAGCACAGAATTTTATTCTGAGTTAATGTCCGTGCATTGGTCTCCAAGCAAGGCTCCTGTAGGGTCTCCCTTCTCAGAAGAAATCACCCCAAATCAATTGGTAAGCTTGGAAAATAGGACAAAGCCTGATGACAGCACTGTCCCACCTGATCCAACCTCAGTGTTTTTAAAAATTATTTTTATGTATGTGTTTTGCCTGCATGTGTATCTGTGGACTACAATGCTAGCAGTGCCTTTGGAGGCCAGAAGAGGGCACCAGACCCTCTGAGATTGGAGTTGTCTGTAAACCGTCATGTGGGAGCTGGGAATCAAACTTGGGTCCTCGGGAAGAGCAGTCAGTCCTCTTAACTACTTAGTCATCCACTTCTCCAATTTTCCTACTCAGTATTTATTTTATAGACCATAGAAGGGTTCTGAATTTGCAATCCACAGGATGAGATTTGGTTAAGTCACTTGGAGTTAGTGCACACTGACCCAAGTTCATCTCCCCAACACATGTGCATGAGCATACATTCTCTCTCTCTCTCTCTCTCTCTCTCTCTCTCTCTCTCTCTCTCTCTCTCTCTCTCTCTCTCTCTCTCTCCCTCCCTCCTCCTCCCCCCTCGCTCCCCTTAGAAGGCACAAGCAACATCTTCATAATAGGCAGGCTGAGTTAGTTCAGTAACTCATAAAAAGCCAGCTAAGCCATACTACTTATGTTGAACCATCAGGTTCTAGAGAAGGGTCCTTTCCTGCAGGATTTTCAAGGATAGCCCTTGTGTACAATGACTTTTAAAACTGTCTAGTAGATGTGCTGACTGCTACTCTTGTCCTCTGAAGAACACTGTGGCTTTGGTGGGGACCTCTTAGGGAGCAGAGCATAGGGGCTATGAGCTGCCATTCTGGTTCAGTGTGGGGAGAGGGGGAATCGGGAGCTTGCCTCAGTGTCTTGTTATCTCCTCCCCGGCCTGTCCCTCGAGGGGGAGCTCAGGGCAGTGTGCTGTGTGGGAAAGGGCTGGGGTTGGATGCCCTGCGGGCTGGCCAGCCGAGTTGAAAGTTGCTGAGAGCATGACTTCTCAACTTTCTGATTCTCACCCTCTGATGTCCCATCTATTCTGGTCACTCCGTCATGAGCATACCTAGTCACCCAGTCAGGATTCCAAGGCTTTGGAAAACGAGCTTTGACTGAGGCCTCGCTGGAGGAATGAGTGCAGCGCCCGCCGGTGGTCCCGTCTGCCATCAGCTCACCAGCCGGTGACATGCTCTTTCCTTCTTGTCTCAGATGTGACTCCTGCCCTGGGCCGTGCTCCCAGCCATGGCTGACACCATCTTCAGCAGTGGAAATGACCAGTGGGTTTGCCCCAACGATCGGCAGCTTGCTCTGAGAGCCAAGTGAGTAGCGTTGTGGCCTGCTAGGATGCCCCTCATTCTCCTCTTGCTGCCGCCTTCCTTCCAGTCTTTTGCGAGGTTTATTCCCAGGAGGAAGTTTGGAGAGAGGTGGCTGCAAATGCACACCACTCTTGGCCCTTGTTTATTAATTATCCACTATGTAGAACAAACTCGTTCCCATTTCTCAGATAAGGAAAGTGAGGCCTGCACACCTTGCCCATATCTTTTGTGAATGGCTGGTTTGTGACCCACATCTCAGTTCAGCTGACCCCCAAACCTGTGCTCTATCACAACAATCCACAGGGAACAAGGCATCTTCATTGGTTCTGCTCCCGTCACTGACTGTCTTGGCTGCTCCCTGAATGAATGATTCCCTTTGGCAAAGACCACAGCTGGCCCACAGCATCCTCCCCTCCCCTTCAGCAGGGTCTCTGCCCCTCTGTGGTTCCCTTGTGTCCCCTTGGTGGGGGCATCTTGATTTTCTTGTTAACCCTCATCCCAGTGACCGTTCCGTTACGTTTGGGCCTGCACCCTCCCCTACTACACACCCAGAGTGCGCCTGTGGCTGGGCCTCTCAGATGCCCTTTTTCCTCTTAGTCTCTTTCAGCTCTCTGGTGGGTGCTGTCCCTGACTCCGATAGGCCAGGAGCATCCCTGCAGCTCCTAGACTGTGTCAGTACCAGGAGCCAGCATTTCCCAGCTGGGACCAAGTTTAAGAAATTCGCAATTAGACATTATGAGCCTGCAGGGGACAGAGCTGCGACATCAAAGGTGGATAGAAAAATTAATCTGTCACATTCAGGAAGAGTGGTGTCACGTGTGGCATGTGAGCATCTTTGCTCCACAGGTGACTGGTTCCTTCCATCTGGGTACCTCAGCCCCCTCCCACCCCGCCCCTGCAGGGAGAGTGACAAGGGGTGAGGTTGGTACCTCTTACCATCTCCTCTGATACCAAGCCAATGAGGTGCCCTCCCTGGCAGGGCTCATGTTGCTGGGAGACCTCAGCTCTTGTATTATGTACAAGAGCCCAGCTGTCCCTTGACCCTCCAGTGTCCCCTTCATCCCCAGCTGAAGCTCTTGTTCAGCAGCTGCTGAGAGCTGTCATAGGCTTTCAGAAAAGCCAGTGTCAGTGTCTTCTCCAGGTGTGTGTCTGAGGGACAGTGGTACAGACACCCCACTGCGGAGTTGGGGGCTGAGTCCAGTGGGTCCCCTAGGAAACTTGGAGGGTTTTCCAACCCACACTTTTCCTACCAGGCACCCCGGTGCCACTGAGCGTTCCTGAACTCATTTGGTCCTTCAAGTTAAAGCCGAGATAGGGAGAGGTGAAACTTGTGTGGTACCTAGGGATATGCAGTTCTTTTAATGGCGATGATTGGCAGTGGAGTGGGGGTGGGGTTATAACTGTGTACTGGACCGAGAGAGGCTTCCCTTTGAGTATGACGCTTCTGTTGACCCAGAAAAATAAATGTTACGAGGAGATATGGGGAAACTTCCAAGTAAGAAAGCGCATGCAAAGGTCCTGGAGTTGAAGGAGCAGGGCATACGGAGAGGCCCTGACAGGAGGCTGGTATGGTTTGAGTGAAGAGTGTGAGGGGTGTACAGGGTAAAAGGTAAGGAGGGGGCTAGGACCAGACAGGATAGTGCCTGGCCCTCTAAGACTCCCCTACCAGACGGAGAAACGGTGGGTCCCACATTGCAAGACTTCTAGCAATGCTGACATCAGTGATGGGCACATATCCATATCTTACAGGGATTCTCATTATGGACTCTGGACCACAGTGTCCAGGCAGTGTCTACACCATTCTCATGAGGGCTTTGGGGGTACGCTGGGATACTGCTGTAGTGGGCAGCCTTGCCTCCAGCAGTGCTGTTCTCTCCCAAGGCTGCAGACAGGCTGGTCTGTGCACACATACCAGACGGAGAAGCAGAGGAGGAGCCAGTGTTTGAGTCCCGGAGAACTGGAGGTCATCCTGCAGGTCATCCAGAGAGCAGAGCGGTTGGACATCCTGGAGCAGCAGAGGATCGGGTGAGCCAGTCAGCGGCTCCGGCAAGGAAGCCAGAGCACTGAGCAGGGAGGGTGCAGGGGGTCTGCGGTGTACCAGTCATAGACAGTGAGCTTCTCATCTGGGCCCCATGGAACGTAGACAGCTGGGAGCTGGGGGTTGTGCTGATCCAGGACCCCAGGCGTATGGGAATGAGCCCAGGGAGCGGTTTGGATTTGGTCTCTGTATACCCCCCTGCCAGCTGCAGCTCAGCCAAGGGATGCACTCAAGTGGAGGTTGACATTGAATCACGCACTGGGCCCAGCAGGAGGCGCCCTCCAGTGTGTTCTTGGCTAGGACTCGGTCATCCAATGTGTTGGTGTGTCTTTTTATTGTTTGATTTGGAAGGTCTTGGGTAGGAAAGTGCGATTGATTGCACTCCGCTACTTTGGGCAGGAGCTCGGTTTGTTCTGATCTTGTTATTTTTCTGTTCATCTTTTTCCATTAGTTCCATGATCATTTTTTAAAATCAGACACAGTAGAAAGGCAGCTTTAGAAGGCGATGGCCCCACTAGAAAGATGACTGCTGTGCCAATGGCTTCTTGTATGAGCCTCAATCACATAGACAGGTCATTATCGTGTCAGTGCAAATAGGGCTTACATCAGAACGGCTGTGTCTCTCTTCTTTTCAATCTAACCTGGCTCCTTACAGATCTCCTCCCCAAGGGTCCCTGCCAGGCTCTGGGCTAGCAATGAATACACACACACACACACACACACACACACACACACACCCGCCACCACTTCAGGGCTCCAAGCTCCACACTTGATAGTGAGCTGGGAGCAGGCTGCAGGAGATTCTACAGGCTCCCCTGTGCTGTGGAAGCACTTTTGGATACCCTCAGCCAGCAGGTCGCTGTCTCGGCCTCCACAGTGCTACCTCAGGAAGTCTGTTTTGTGGTCTGGTGCCACCCTAAGTGCTGGGTTGAAACCAAACTCCAGCCTGCAAATACCCAGGGTCTGCCTTAGCCCTCTGCCCTTCTCTGGCTTCTGGGACATCTCTCTGCACTCTTGTGTTTTCAAAGTGCCTTCTCTGACCTCCATCTACTGTACCCCTGGTCCCTCATTTGTCATCTTGTCCCCTCACTCTGGGCTTGTTTTCTTGCTCATGAATTTCCCCCTTTGTTGAACCTAAGTTCCAAGAGGGCTGTGTGTTGTCTTGCCTGTTTGCTACGCTATCCTCGGTGTCCTGCACATCCTAGGTGCCCAGCTGATGGCGAGTTAAGGAGTGACTGGGAGTTAGCCAGTGGAAGGGAAGAACAGCACATACCCTCCGACCCCAACAGCAGCTGTGCCCAAGCAGCCTTCAGGTTAAGGCCAGGAAGCAGGTTCCCTCTGACCCTGTGTCCTGTGCTGCAGGCGCCTGGTGGAACGGCTGGAGACGATGCAGCGGAACGTGATGGGCAATGGCCTCTCCCAGTGTCTGCTCTGCGGGGAGGCGCTGGGCTTCCTGGGCAGTGCCTCTGTGTTCTGCAAAGACTGCAGGAAGGTAAGCCCTGCTCTAGCCTTGCCAATCGGCTCCCCAGCATGGGGCAGCTTTGCTACCTGTGGCATTGTACCCGTTTCCAGGACAGTGTGTGCACACGTGTGCATGTTACATCTATGTATGTGGTGATATCATTTGCTTTTTTGCAAGAAGGGCCTGAGGATTGGATGATAGGGCTTCTGGAGGCAGCTCTGGGAAGGGAGTGAGAATCTGGGTGTAAACCCTGCTCGTATCCCATCCACTAAACCTCAGAAAACTGGTCTGGCAGCTCATGCCTCATTTTCTCAATCTGAAAAGCAGGGGCAACTATCACATGTACTCCAGCAAGCTGAGGATCAGGCACATTAAATGCAAAACTCATAAAGTCCTACCTAGTGTCATGCTGTGGTGGCGCTTGTCTTTAATCCCAGCTCTCGGGAGGCAGAGGCAGGTGGATCTATATGAGTTGGAGGCCAGACAGAAACACTGTCTCAAAAAAACCAAAAACCAAAAACCAAAACAAAACAAAAGGCACTTAGGCACTCAGTAAATGTTAGGAAAGTACTGTTTCTTCAGGACGGAGCGGTGCTGGGCCGGAGCCTCTGTTCTGCCAGGTCACTCTCTTGATGGCAGGAGAAATGCCTTTGCAAGATCAAGTGGATTTTCTCCTTTTCTTATGCTAAACTGTGCTGAGTGTTAAATCACTTCATAATGAGCCCAAGACTTTTTAATCGTTGACTTTAGTTTATTGTTTCCCAGAGAATAATGTACCTTCCAATGTCCGCATTTATTTAGGGTTTGGTTTTACTCGCTACCATGTGGAGCCTGTTACTCTTTTCTTCCTGGCAGAAACACTTCTAGATTATTCCTCTTCCAGCTATAGCTGGTGCTGTACGGTAATCAGCACATGACTGCCCTTGGCTGCCTCCCTAGGTCAGAGACACTGTTGCCCCAACACCTTCTCTTGTGTTTCACCCTTGTTTTTCTGGAACCCGTTTCTCAAGTAGCTCCCACGTGTCAGCCATTGCTTTAAGCTTGGAGTTCTTTATCATTCTTTGTATCTTATGTGTATTGGTGTTTTCACTGCATCTATGTCTGTGTAAGGGTGTTGGATTCCCTGGAACTTACAAACCGTTGTGGATACTGGGAATTGAACCTGGGTCCTCTGGAAGAGCAGACAGTGCTCTCAACCACTGAGCCATCTCTCCAGCCTCAAGCTTGGAGTTCTTAAAGTGAACAAGCCAGAGGGCAAAGAATCTTCTAAAGATGACAAGACTAGTCAGCTAAGGTGACTTCAGTGACTAATCGATCTCGGACGAAGGGGTCAGGTGGATGATGTTTTGTGACTTCTGCTCTCTGCCTCTGAGGCCCCTCTCCACCTCACAACGACTCTAAAGATTCCAGGTTTGAGGGACCATGACAGGCAGTGTCGTATCTCCTCTCCTGGGGAACGTCCATCCCAACCTCTTCCACAGAATGAGCTGCTGTCCCTAGTTATCAAAGAGTTAATGCCAGTTGCTCCTCAGAGAGCCATTGCCTAGGCAACAGACTGACCCAGGGGAGGGCCTCAGCTGGATGAGGGCTGTGGGAGAGATGTTCTCCCCTACTCCCATCCCCCACCGCCCGGTGCCCTGGGGTTGGGCTGGTCGCTGGTTGGAGGGCATTTCCATGATGTGTACTCTGCCAGCGGGAAGGAGACTGAGCGCTGGTCTGTCAGGAATTGGTTCAGGATATAGTTGGAGGGAAGCAAAGATTGAGGGCATTGGGAGGCTTCGGCGGGTTTTCTTCATGTGTCCTCAAGAAGACTGGGTTATCCATTCATAGGTGACCATTTTTTATTTAATTTTTGGGTTTTTGAGACAGAGTCTCTCTGCGTAGCTCTGGCTGTCCTGGCTGTCCTGGCTGTCCTGGAACTCTCTCCTTAGACCAGGCTGGCCTCAAACTCACAGAGATCCATCTGCCTCTGCCTTCTGAGTGCTGGGATTAGAGAGGGGTGCACCACCACCACCCTGCTTGCCTGTCTTTAAATAGTAAAGGATCCACCATGGGTCACAGGCCCATGAGACACAGTGACACCATGGGTCAGTCAACCTGGGCTATGTCCTTTAACAGCAGACCTTAATTTCCCCATGGCTTGCAGGACTGGAAAGTCCAAGGCAATTCAGCGTCTTCCTGGCCTGCCAGATGGATGGCTTCTCCCATGTCCTCAAATGGCACCAGGCACCCTGATGTCTCTTCCTCTACGGACATTAATCATATCAGATACAGTCTCATACTTGGGGTCCCATATAACCTTAACCCTTAACTTTCAGAGTACCCACTCTCCCAATATAGTCACAATGGGAGTTGGGGTTCAACATTGGAATTTTGAGGAACCAGCCTATTGTACTCTGTTTTCCTTATTAGAACTCATGCTTTGGTTTGGTCTTCTTGTTTGTTTTTCCTTCTTCCTTCCTTTCTTTATTTTTTAAAAATTATTTATTTTTAATTTGATGTGCATTGGTGTTTTGCCATGGGTGTTGGCAGACAGTTGTGAGGTGCCATGTGGGTGCTGGGAATTGAACCTGGGTCCTCTAGAAGAGCACTCAGTGCTCTTAACCGCTGAGCCATCTCTCCAGCCCTCTTTCTTCATTTCTTTTTTTTAATTTTTTTTTAATTTTGGTTTTACGAGACAGGGTTTCTCTGTTTTGGAGGCTGTCGGTCCAGCCTGGCCTCGAACTCACAGAGATCCGCCTGCCTCTGCCTCCCGAGTGCTGGGATTAAAGGCGTGCGCCACCAACGCCCGGCTTCTTTCTTCATTTCTAAGATGGGTTCTCAATGTGTAGCCCCAGTGGCCCCAAACTTAAGCCTTCTGCCTCCGCCTTTGGAATGCTGGCGTTGTAGACAGTACCACCATGCCTAGAAGAATCGGTGCTCTTTTGAGCTTTAGGTTGAAGCTGCCGTCATTAGTTCCTTGTTTTCCAAAGTTTAGGCAACTGAATTTGGATACCTTTGCAATTCTCAATATTGGTGTCGAGCTGGCAGGGACCCCCTATTAGTGTGCTAGTGCCAGTGAGTTATACAGTCCCCAGGAACAGCCTGTGTGGTACTCAGGGATGAGGGGAATCCAGAAGAGGGGGATTCTTCTCTCAGTCCTGACTGCCAAGGTGGATGGGCAGTATTCTCTAGCGTGACACCACTGCTATAGGAACCTAGGGCTCCCAGGACTTAGCAGGCAGGATCCCTGTCTGGAGGAGCCAGTCTCCTAAAGCCAAAAGGTGTGTGTGCTTGGGCAGGCTGAAGAGAGAGAGAGAACACAGGGGAGATCCCTGGCATTGGAAGTGTCCAAGCCAGACCTCTCTGGGGAGGACAGATCCTCAGCTGCTTCTGGGGACACTGATGCCTCTCCAGCAAGATCTCTGACAGTGTTGAGTAGCCACAAGCTAATGAACACCCAGGTAGGGGTGCAGCAGGCTGGAGCTGTGGCCCTCTGTAATTGGGCCTGCACAAACGCTCACAGACTGGCTGCCTGGCCTCATTTGCCTGGCTGTAGTGGGAAGGGAGAGGGGCTGGCTGGTTAATTAAAGAGGCCTGGTACTCCTAATTGCCTGTGCTCTGGGTCGGTCAGCCTTCAGCCTAATTAAGAGGCTGGCTTTCTAGCCATGGGAGGCTGTGCCTGGCTGCTGGATGACCATCTGAGCCCAGGACAGTTCTGTCACCAGCCTAAGGAAGCAGTTGGAGCTTTTCCTGGTCTCAGCCAAATGGATCTCACAGTATGGGCCCAGGAGAGCCAGCCTGACATAACCTAGATCATGATTGCCGAGTCCTGGTGGCAGCCTGAGGTTAGCCTGCGTTTTTCTTCAGTTCCTTGGCAAAAGTTCCCATGGGGGTATCATGACTCCAGTCCAGCATGGGGGAACTCTGTAGGGCGGGGTGTGGGCCACGCCTGATCCCTCCTGCTGCAGGCTCCAGACCATTTTCTCTAAGGAGGTTGCTGCTGCAGAGACTGGCAGTAACCACCCCAGCTGGACAAAGCTGTGTGTGCCATTTCCCCTGAGCCCCAGACTCCATTCTGTTCAGGGCGAGCAGGGAAGGGACAGATGGCCTTCCTTGTCACTCTCCTGCCTGCCACCAGCCTGGGCAATCTAAGGAAGCAGAGTTCCCCCCTGTCCACCCATCACCACTGTGTACCTGTCCCCGGCCCTCCTCTCTTGGAGCCCAGGTAGTTTCTCATCGTCTGCCAGTAGCGCTTCCTATAAAGTCAGCTGATCTGAGCAGAGACTGGGGTGCTCCTTTGAAGATTTGGGAATCTCCCCCATTAGTCCTCCTCCTGAAGGTGAAGACACCCGAGGAGTCAAAGAATTCAAGTGCTGGCTACTCAAAGTGAGGACTGAGGACCAGAGGCTCAGACATCCCTCTGTGCTAGCCAGAAGGGCACATTCTCAGGCCCCCCTTGCACACCCGAGCCAGAATCCTCATTTCACCAGATTTGTCAAACATGATGTCTTCAAGTGTCATCCATACCACAGCATGTGCCTGTTGGAATTCCTCTCCTGTATGAAGGGACTTACCTTCTGATGTGTCTATTCCATCATACTTGGCCAATCTATTCACCTGTGATGGACACTTGGGGTGCCCCCACGTTTTACGAACAATGTGACTGTGTACACAATTGTGCAGATCTGAGATCCCATTTCTTTTATTTTCTTTCTTTTCTTTTTTTTTTTTTGGTTTTTCGAGACATGGTTTTTCTGTGGCTTTGGAGGTTGTCCTGGAACTAGCTCTTGTATACCAGGCTGGTCTCAAACTCACAGAGATCCTCCTGCCTCTGCCTCCCAAGTGCTGGGATTAAAGGCGTGCACCACCACTGCCCACCCAGCTGAGATCCCATTTCTAAGTCCCCGGGAGTATATACCCAGCAGTGGCATTGCTGCATCCCACAGTAGTTCAGCATGGTTTTGTAAGAAATTGCCATACTGTTCTGCACGGTGGCGGAATGATTTTACATCTGCCACCAGTGTGCAACAGTTAGGAGGTGGCCAGTG